TCACTTTCCAGACAGTGTCAAGTTTCTGTATGTGTTACTTTCCAGACAGTGTCAAGTTTCTATAATGTTTCACTTTCCAGACAGTGTCAAGTTTCTATAATGTTTTACTTTCCAGACAGTGTCAAGTTTCTGTATGTGTTACTTTCCAGACAGTGTCAAGTTTCTATAATGTTTCACTTTCCAGACAGTGTCAAGTTTCTATAATGTGTAACTTTCCAGACAGTGTCAAGTTTCTATACTGTTTCAGTTTCAAGACAGTGTCAAGTTTCTATACTGTTTCAGTTTCAAGACAGTGTCAAGCTTTTATACCGTTTCAGTTTTAAGACGTGTCAAGTTTCAATAACGTTTCAGTTTCGACCAGAGTCAAGTTTCTGTACTGTGTCACTTTTCAGACAGTGTCAAGTTTCTGTACTGTGTCACTTTTCAGACAGACTGTCAGGTTCTGACAGTGTTATGTGTCCCTTGTCAACTGCTGATCAGGTAGAATCAGTTGGTCAGCAACCAAGTTGTGTGTAGAGGTTCAGCATTTGATATCTAAGTGCACTTTTGCTCTCAGAAAACTGTTGCTGACATTCTTTTTTTTATCTAAATTATTCATAAAAGTTCTGCAAGGTATCGGTAACTTTACAGAAATGGAATAAACACTCTAAATGACCATTCCTTCCAACCTGCCAAGTCTAGAGAAACCTTGTTGTGGTTAGAAGTTAGGGATTCAACAGAGACATTAACCTTAATCTGATGCAATTTCAAAATAAACTGGAAATTCCGACTGCTGAGTCAAGTAGTGGTGACACCCTCAAATTCTGGATTGTCCCAAGATTCCTGATCAATTTGAATGACTACCAGTGTTACTAGTTGAAAACAAACTGATTCCCATGTTTTAGTTATCTAAAATAAGTAAGTCACTATATCGATAGAAAGATGATGAATCGACCAAAGAAATAATCTGTTTGAGTAGGGTCGACTTGAGATATAACCATTAAAAATATAAATATGTTACTAATGTTATGGTTTTTTTTGTGTTTATATAAACAAGAGGCCCATGGGCCTTAACCATCACCTGAGTCCTACAATATTTATTTTTGTTGTTGAAATATGTACCAATTTGAGTAAAAAATAGTATAATGTTAACTTAACTTTGTCAGGACCATGAGCTGATCATTCCTAGACCAATTTTAAGTGAGATCGGCCTATTAGAACTTAGTAGCAAAATAGCGGCCATGGCAGCCAAATTGTATTTCTGATTGACCCGAAAAATAACAACACTTTGTCAGGACCATGAGGCGATCATTCCTACCAACTTTCAGTTCAATCGGTCCAGCAGAACTTGACTTTAAGTTTGAAATAGGTTTTCAAAATGGCGGCCGTGGCGGCCATATTGGATTTCTGATCGACCCGAAAAATAACAACACTTTGTCAGGACCATGAGGCGATCATTCCTACCAACTTTCAGTTCAATCGGTCCAGCAGAACTTGACTTTAAGTTTGAAATAGGTTTTCAAAATGGCGGCCGTGGCGGCCATATTGGATTTCTGATCGACCCGAAAAATAACAACACTTTGTCAGGACCATGAGGCGATCATTCCTACCAACTTTCAGTTCAATCGGTCCAGCAGAACTTGACTTTAAGTTTGAAATAGGTTTTCAAAATGGCGGCCGTGGCGGCCATATTGGATTTCTGATCGACCCGAAAAATAACAACACTTTGTCAGGACCATGAGGCGATCATTCCTACCAACTTTCAGTTCAATCGGTCCAGCAGAACTTGACTTTAAGTTTGAAATAGGTTTTCAAAATGGCGGCCGTGGCGGCCATATTGGATTTCTGATCGACCCGAAAAATAACAACACTTTGTCAGGACCATGAGGCGATCATTCCTACCAACTTTCAGTTCAATCGGTCCAGCAGAACTTGACTTTAAGTTTGAAATAGGTTTTCAAAATGGCGGCCGTGGCGGCCATATTGGATTTCTGATCGACCCGAAAAATAACAACACTTTGTCAGGACCATGAGGCGATCATTCCTACCAACTTTCAGTTCAATCGGCCCAGCAGAACTTGACTTTAAGTTTGAAATGTAAAATGTTAACGGACGACGGACGACGGACGACGACGGACGAAAACGGATAGCAATAGGTCACTTGAGCTAAAGCTCAGGTGAACTAAAAAGGCATACAATTATAATATATAATATAGAAGCTTTAAGGAATAGAGCTAACCAATTGGAAAAGGAAAATGACATTGACCTACTTACAAGGTCACAGAGAAAAATATGTCGAGCAACTTCTGAAGAAGAATCAAAAAGCATAGAATCTTATTATAATATTTTGCTCGTAGTTTTAACAGATGGAGCCAACAAAGTTTGCGAGGGAAATAT